ATCATGAGATCGAAACAATTTCTGGGGCGCCGGAATCGCGACGGAATTACACGACGTTCGAAGGCTCTCGTCGATCAGCCGAAACGCAAGAGATGCCCGCCGTGTGCTACAGCCCTGGGTTATAGGTATATGCTCACCTCATATCGAGCGTGTGGCTCACAGAGAAGTTTCTGCTGCCGGCAATGCTGGCGACGGCGAAACACGGATTGCCCTCGGTCTTTCCGTTACTGAACGCGAGGCACACTCTGCCGAGCAGTCGTAATTTACCGCGATACGGCATATTTATTTTTATACGTTATCGCCGGCAGGGAGAGAGGGAGATACGCGAGCAGGGAGCGAGACAGAGAGAATGATGAGAAGTCGATGTCGATGGGGAGACACGAACGCCGTGAAAGACGAGACGCAACTGAGGCCACGCTCTCTCGAGCCGCTCGGCACGTAGGGTATCCGACCACGTGATCGCTTGACAGATAAAAAAGCGAAGAGGCCGATCAAATTGCAATTTTGGAGAAATCGATGGAAAAGGGAGAAAAGGATAAAACGAGCGAAATCGCTGAATGCAATGAGATGTTCGCAAAACGTGATTTTGCACAATGTTATCTTATCGTTTTGAAGCAATATCGATCGTGCCAATAAATAACGCTGACATCTGCGACAAGAAACACGAATCGCATAACTATTACTGTAATAAGTAGAGATTTGCAAAGAGATTTTTTTGTTCCAGTAATAATCAATATTTGTTTATATATGTATATATAATGTTACACAATACTATCAATAGCGATAAATGCTATTTAATAGTTGACTGTTTACTAGAACCTCGATAAAGATATGAAGATATTCATCTTCATATCTTTATCATATAAATATATGAATATAAATATCATATAAATCTAAATTTCGAAAGCATGTATCTGTATGGACACTTAATAAGATTGTATGAACACAGAATATGTTGACACACCATGAAAGATAGACAGTATCATTATAAAACGTTCGATTACGTCGAAAAAAGATAATAAGAGTATAAGATAAGCATTGCGCAATATCGCGTTTCTTGAGCATTTCGTTGCAATCGGCGATTTCTCGCGCTTTTCCTTTTCTCCCTCTTCCATCGATTTCTTCAAAATAAATATAATTTAATACTTAGATAAAAGACAATGAGGTCCACTCGATAGCATCCTTTAATATTCCTTCAATCGAAAGCTCACAAATGTCTAGCAATTAACAATTAGATTAAGGTAACGGTTTCTTCCGGGTGATTAGAAACTCTTCGCGGTCGTGATACGGTTCGTACGGATCGTCGACGTAGTAGTGCCGTCTCTTCCAGTACTTGGACACCATCTTGTCCAGCAGCGTCGACTGCGTGGCATTGCAGAACACGTGTCGCCGCAATCTCTTCTTCCTACTTGACGATTTTGTCCACAGCTTGTTGTGCCGACCTGACCTCGTTCTGATCCAGACACCCCTGTAACACGTTGTTATTGTTCGAAGTTCAATTTCTATTACAGGAGTATTTCAATGCGATCTATAACTTTCGAGATTGCTTTATGATAAATCCTTGAAATATTTTACCAGTCGAGTCGGTAGAAACGTGTCAGGACTGTCTTCACGGTTTTCCGCTTTCCTTTTGACATAGAGAACTTGATTAGCGTTCTCACTGGCACATTAACAGGTTCTGCTGGCAGAGCTAGACGATTTTCCGTCGCCGCATGGCTGAAAGCATAACATTACTTTTACGTAGCGACTTGATGTCTTATTATTTACATAATATATTATGTTCCACAAAACATCACTTCTGCACATTCTACATTACTTTAATATCTTATGTTGCACAGGTCCTGTGGCTGCCCATTTCTGGACGGCGATTGACAGTGCTCCAAAACCTCTGTGTTGAATGCAGCTCAAGACGGGATTGCATCTTGAAGCAACACAATTTGTCACAGTCGTACTCGTCGCTTTCGCTGCGACCCCTGCAAGAATACGTAAGTTCAGTATGTGTGTTTGCGAGATAAAAAAATTACAAACTCGGGGAAGAATGTTTTATGTCTTGAATATATGTATGCAATCAGATAATCACGTATGAGTATCTCGAATATGTACATATAAATACATACATATTTATATATTAATAAGTAAATTAATAATAATTATTCTTTAATTTATATTAAATATGTACATATATATATATGTATATATGTATATATATATATATATATATATATATATATTTATATGTACATACAATCGCGCAAGCGGAATGTCGAACTTTCTTTATGGACCGCTCTCACGCTCGATTTTTTTCGAGTTGAAACGAGCATTCGGGAAACTATTGCTCATTGATCTACGTAGAATTTAATTAGGCAAATCATTAATTAAACGTGATTAATTAAACGTGATTAATTAAACGCTCCTGTGGATTGGAAATCCACAATCGAGAAGACCGTGAATCTCGACGTCCGTTCGAGGACGAGAAGTCTTCCAAGTGCACGTTGAAACGTGCGCGCCCGCGTTCCGATTCCGCGACGTTCCCCGCGCCAGTCCACGCGTCACGGCGAGGCGAACCTAACCTCCCTCGTCGTCGCCGTCGCGCATTCCGTCGTCCGCGACGCGACGATACGCGAGCTCGCCGGTGTATCATGGTGCGACGCACGGTCGACGCGTGACAGTACCTCGCGACCACCGATCGCCCCACGGTTCGGCTGTGGAACACGCGCAACACCCACCTCGCAGCGCCGCGCTCACGGCACGCAGCATTCTTCTTTTCGCGCAGTTCCGTCCAGTTCCGCGCCCGACCAGCTGTTTTCCAATTTCCCCGTGCCGTCGTTCCCCCTTTCCCGGCGCTGGCTGTCCTGACCGGCCCCGCTCGAAAGATGTTCCGAATTGGATTAAAATTTCCGTGCAACGGTCTGAATCGGGTACGTAGCCCCGCGCGCGCGAGAGGGCCGCGGCCGGGCGGCGCGCGATCGTCCGGGCGGGATCGTCCGCGTGCGGAATGTCCGCGGGGGGTGATCGTCTCGCGAGCGGAGCGACCGCATGACGACAGCGATCGCGCACCGTGACGTCCGTGTGTCCTCGCGACAGTGCCGCGCGACGATCCCGACGTCGACCGACTCCACCGCCGTCGTCGGCTTGTTGCACGTCGCCGACGACACGAGCCCCGTGGAGTCGCGATGAGTCGCGACGACGACGATCCCCTCCCCCCGTTCCCCTAAGGGGGGAAGACATCCCCCGGACGAGTGCCCGACCGCGGGACGATGTTTCCCGGCCCGCGCGCGCTTCACGCGCGTGACAAAGATGGCATGTTTTCCGCGAGGGCTTACATAACTCCGGAATCTCTCTGATCCCGTCGTCGTTTGTCCTTTCAGGTCAAAAAACACGGCTGCTCCAGATTACATCTGACTGCCAGATACTACGAGACACGGGCGCGCGTCAAGTACGAGCCGGATGGAAGGTGAGTCCGTCGACCGAAGTCCGGGTCTCGACAAGCCTCGCCGCCTGTCGAACGTGGTTCGTTGTCCGCCGGAGATCGTCCTCGCGGCTTGTCAGTCCCAAGACCCGGGTGACACTATGTTTTACGCTGTTTACGAGCGATTTTGTGCGGCACGCGGTGAGGTTATGTTCGTGCATGTGTTCTCCTAAAATAAGGATGAGCAATTTTATGAATGGCACCTGCCACGTTCGTGATTTTACCAACGCTGTACTTCACGGGTTTGTCACGAGTAGTCATTGATAGCGAGAGTTGTCATGTTTTGATGAGCGATATAATTTAATTTTTTTTTGGTATGTGCATCTTATATATCTATATGTGAAAATATAATGTATTTTTTTTAGACAATGCAGGGACGTCAGACTTATATCCAGGATTACTGGGCCCAAGTATTCGACCGCACCGCCAAAAAGGTACATGAAACTTGAGAATCTTTAGCGCGTTATTTGTGAAATTAATGCGTTTTACCAGCGCTGTATTTCATGGGTTTGTCGAGTAGTATATTGATAGCGAGTGTTGTCAACTTTTGATGAGCGATAGAATTTAATTTATCATTTTTCTGATGATTTACATGATATGACTATTCGTGTCGGTTTGGCTGTGTACCCATGCCACGAGAAAAAGAAAAAGAAAGCCACTTTGTTTTAAATAGATTTATTTTAATTGCTTGCTTTTCTCATAACAGTGACAACAGTGGGGGATCGGGAACGCTGATAACTCTAGGCGCTGTCACGATAGGTGGTACCTTAGGAATACTAACGTACGTGAAGCATGACCCAGAGCTTCGGGCTACCCTCGAAGGATGGATTCCCGGCACGGACAAAGCTATCCGAGTTATCTTCCAAGAAGACTCCAACTACCTCGACTTTGTACTTACGCTCTTGGAAACATTGAAGCAGACGTAAGATAATAAAAATTATTTATAATGTTAATCACGACAATTATTTATTTCACTGAAACATGAATTTTCTTTACAGAATATTGGGCATGTTCAACAAGGAAACACCAGGTCAGGCAAGAATACAGTACACAAAAGTTTTAGAATACATACGTGAGTCCCAATCCATGCCTAATTCCTTACCTCCTGTCCGTGCCTTTTTTTTTCGTACTTTTTTTTTATATATAGTTCCTTTTCTCGATCTTTTTTAGGATTAGATATATTGCATATTTAATAAATAATACCCCCCACTAACTTTTAACAATCGCATGTGTGTACTGTAGCGCCCAAGTCAGCTTTTAAACCGCTGGTCGAGCAGAAAGAAGCGCCTATTAACAAGAATTACACCGAAATTCGTGTTAGTAAAGAGAAGGGCGAGAAAGTAGATGTTGGTACGTTTGCATCCTTTCTTGTAATCGTTTTGCACGAAGCTTTTGGTGGAAGGTAATTGAATAATTTATATTTCTCTTTATAGTGGTTGAGAAGCCAGCGCCGCCTGCTAAAACTGTGCACGATGAATTGATACCGCAAAATCTCGTCGAGTTAGAAACGTACTGTGGCGAAGCTGCCGCTAAAGCTATCGCGGCCTACCACAAGGCATCGTCCGCGCTTCAGGCATACAATCAGGATGTAATCAAGGTGGTTGAAAATGTCGGCGTTACGACAAACGGAGTCGTCTGGCAAAGGTAACCGTCGTTATGCTTGCGTAATCGTTTTACACTTCGCTTACGTATCTGATTATGTAATCAGATTTGTCACGTTCACAGGTTAAAGGATGCGACGGAAAAGAGGAAACAGGCCGTACAGCAGGCAGACGAACATGCGAAAGATGCGTTAGACTCGCTCAAACGCATGTACAATTTAATCGATGAACCTATGCTTGAAGCGGCCGCTCACATGAAAACAGCTGCGAGACGAAATATTAGAAAAATTATGGACGACGTGGACGAAGCCAAGAAAAAATACGCCGACGAATTACAGAACAGCAACGTCGCGGAGCGCTACTGGAAGCAGGTTCAAACGGCACGAGAGAATTTCAACGAAGAATTGCAAATTCTGTTTCCCCATATAAATATTCATGACAAGAAGCTGTCCGTCAACGAAGAAGCCTTCGATTTATTCGTCCTGCATATGTATCACAAAGTCAACAATTTGCAAAAGGAGCTGGAGAAATTAAGAGTGAGTTTGTTAGCATTATTTATTTGACTAATCTCGATAGCCTTTGCTAGATTTATATTTCCGAAACGCTTTCGTGCTATAACAAGACCCGATTTTTCGTACAAGATTGATAATGTGTCGATAATATCAGTGTCTTCAGAGAAAAATTATTTAATTACAGACAGTCAGCGAAGCTAAAGTGAAATCGGCATTGAGGACGGCGGGTGAGGACGCAACTCAAGAAAAGCTGGACGCGCTGCTCTCCCTCGCGGTTAACCAGGAGAAGATCGAGCTTGAAGATAAACACGCGAAACAGGTACGAAATTTTTTAAATATATTTTCAACTCGAAAACATGAATCGCGAGCACAGACCCTTATCTACAGAAAATTAATTTTCTCGGAATTTCTCAGAATTTCGTGCAGAATTATAAATTTGTTAATCGTAATTTACAAGCGTAACGCGACGTGTTATCCCGTTGTACATTATCATATCTCTCCGTTCGTGCATTCTGCTGCAGAGAAATGCTAATTCTATAATGCGCGTATACATGTCTCGTTATGAGAGAAGATATATATCCAAGCACGATTCAGATGGCCTCAAAGCGCCTTGTTTGGCATGCAAATCGTGCACCGGCCGATGTTGCATGCTTTTATGCGCTCCATCCCCGTTCTCTTAGTATACAAATACAAATATACGCGAGCTTTAGCGCCATTATTAATGTTGCCCCAGCGTTTAGATGGCTCCGCAGGGCCACGCGTTCGCGCGTGAAATCCAGCTCCTGTCCTTGCGGTGCGGATATATTCGCGCGAATTAAAGAGAGATCGGCGTAAAATAAGTTTCTTTCATTAAATCGTTCCGCGATGATAATCGTGCGAAGCGCAAAAAAAATTTCTGAGATTTCCGAGAAAATGTATTTCTCAGATGAAAGGGAAAAAATGACGGGGAGAACGAGGGGGGAGGGGACAGTTAAAAACCGAGCGGTGGAAATGGTGGTGCTCAGGTTGTAAAGCGGACGAATAGAGAGATCACGGTGATAAAGCGGGCCTTCATTAAAGAACGTCGGAAAATAACGGAAGAAGAAAGTGACAACGGGTCACTTTTAGTCATAGCCGCTTACATCACGCTTTACTGCATTTCAAGATCTCTCAGGCTCGAATGGCTCGTATAAAATAATATCCTCCGACCGTCGCTTTGCAAAGTTACATTTCACAAGATTCTATTCTGTGACGCGCTTTTTTTCTTTAGCTTTAATAATCCTCGATCGAATATCCTTTCTCTTTACGTTTAGTAAGAACGCGTCAACTTTGTGAGTCAGATCAAGACGGAATCTCTTTCCACGCGGTAAACCCGAGTTGTATTCAGATCGGGGCACAGGTGCATCGGCGTTTCGTTCGTATATGACGAATTTAAATTGGTGTGGCACCGTGTGTATAACGTCACATACGTCCGAGTGTGCCGCGTGAGAGGATGGCCCCGGCGGTGGCAGCGCCACAGTCCCCCCTTGGTCCTTTTATTTTTATTTCCATTTGGCCGGACGCCAATATTTCGACAGCAACGGGCGATATTATTCCCTTGGAGTACGCGGCGTTTGTATGCCGTAGCCGTAGGTGCGCCGTGAGGTATCCGCTGAGAAACCATTGTGCGACTCACTGTCCTCATAGTTGTTCGACAGCTCTTTTCCGGGAGTGCAGAGGGGTGGGGGTGCTTTCTTTATACTCTCCATTTCTCGATCTCTATTTCCCGAAGCCGCACCGTCGAATATAAATCTTGTCGAATCGATCCGCGCGGCCGGCTCGCACGACCTTTTGTTCTCGTTTCGCGGACGGGAACAGCGGTGTCCTCTAATTGCTATTTGTCTACGAGCTTCCGGTACCGCTCGTTAACGTCCGGTCGAATATTTTACCGTTAATGCATCGCGGACGGGCGGGCGTATCGCCGAACGATATCCCTGCGTCATCTATTAAATTATACACATACACACATATATATGTATATATATATGTATATATATGTATGAGAAAGAGATAGCGGAATTAATTAAATGGTAATCATTGTATAATTTGTTCATAAGTTGCCGTTAACAAACGATCGTTCGTTCCGCGACAGTCAATGCGAGCTGTCGGAGCAAATGCAACGAAAGTATGTCATCGTCGTCGCAAACTTTACATTGCGTTTGCGCCATTCCACCCTCGTCGCGCAAAGAGGAATCCTCTTTCGCGTCATTTAATTAACGTAGTTTTGCCGCGGAAAAACAACTCGCCGTCGTTTTCGTCAACGTGACTCCAAATGTTTTCGTCCTAACGCGAAGGCAGGGGCAAAGTCACGCTGCAAATCATCGCCGGCGAAATGAAACGATTATCGGAAAGAGTGATGTAGGTCAAAATTTTTTTTAAAATGAATCAGAGGAGTTAATTAGTTTTATATATTTCATGTACATATATTACATATATTCGGAATCGTATGAATATGTCGATCATTACGTTACCGTTGGAAGAACATTCTAAACGGAAATGGTATTACAACCAGAAAATGATCGATTCTTTTAGATAGAAAATATATTTTTACCAAAATATCCATTTGCACGCATCATCAAGCATCATAGACAATTTAAATAAAATATCTTTTGAATTTTATCTTCTAGAAATACATACATATCATATTCTATAATATATATATAATGACCGCGCTGTTCATCAAATATTCTATTGTTTCGTACACTCGCAACGGGTAAACAAAATTTTCCGTAAAGCCAAATAGGGATGCATCTAAGATCGTAGGGAGCTTGAAAAATTCATAGTTCCTTATCTGCCTCCGCCGTTTGGGATTTCAGTCCGTGGCCCGGTCACGGGATATCTTTATGGCGGTACACCTGAAAGTTATTTACCGCGACGGACGTGAATTATCGATGAAACTTTTTGTCGCGATTTGTTTTATCCCGCCCGTGCGCAACGGCGAAGCTTACTTTACCATCGCCTAGAAACAAAATGTGAAACTCGTCCGAACCATTTTCTAGTATAGCTTTCTAGTATAACACTCGCCAAAGTATCGTCGATAATTTTATAATAGCATCCCTGCACGAGCAAATAACCATCGCCATCGTGCGAGCGTGTGTGAAGTTTAGCACCCCAACATTAAAATTCCATATAGTTCTGATTAGAGTTCTACTTAACGACAATTTTTTAATTCATGAATTTTGATAAGAAGTTAGCACCTCATTTTTTCAATTTAAATTCAAAATTGTTTAGAACCTTTGTTATAAACTATAGGGATAGTTATAAACTCTTCGTCTCTTCAAAATGAAGCGAGAACTTCAATCAGAACTATGGAATTTTAATGTTGGGATGCTAACTTCACACAGCACCCCAGCATTAAAATTCCATAGTTCTGATTAAAGTTCTCGCTTTATTTTGAAGAGATGAAGAGTTCTCTATAATTGATAAATGAAGAGTTCTACTTGATGACAATTTTTAATTTATGAATTTTGATAAGAAGTTAGTACCTTATTTTTTCAATTTAAAAATTGTTTAGAACTCTTGTTATAAACTATAGAGAACTCTTCGTCTTTTCAAAATGAAGCGGGAACTCTAACCAGAACTATGGAATTTTATTGTTGGGGTGCTAACTTCATACACGCATCGTGCGAAGATTTTTACAGCAGTTTATAAATTCCAATAAAATAAACGAAAATCTGCGAAAATCTCATACTTTTCTTCGCATAGAACTTATATTTTAAATTCTAGAAAAACATATTGATTATCGAGCTACAAAAGTCGTTGGTTTACGTTAATTAGTTTAATTTTAATTCGAATATTCTCTCTCTCTCTCTCTTTTTCTCTGTCTTTAATGTACACGTTTATATCCTCGGGAGCTGTCTAGCCGCACTCCTCGGGCGCGAAGTGATGCACTCGTTCTCTAAAAACGATCTTTGGCGCACGTGCGCGACGTGGTGCCGATCGTATATCCGCTTTTACGACGGAAGCGCCCGCCTGTAGGAAAAATATTACTCGACGTGTATAGGACGACTAACCAGCCGCGCGCGAAAGCGAGCGTTTAAGCGTTCTTTCACGTGGGCGTCTTGTAAATCGAGAAATTCCCACGTTAACGCCAATGTGGTCGGTACGTGTTGCAGTACGATCGCGCGGTACCTTTCCCCGAATGTTTTTCCCTCTCGACTCAAAGATTGATTTCCTTTTCCGCTCGCGCCTCTTCGCATGAATCGCAGATAGCTCTCGTCTCTCTCTCTCTCTCTCTTCATTTTGCACCAAGATTCTGGAATAATTTAAAGACGACGTCATCGGTGTTCTGAATTTTCATTGAGTCTTTAATTGAATAATATAGAGTGTCCAGAGACGTTCTTTACTTCAACGACGAGTTCCTCGAGAGTTTTTAACTTTTTAAGGAAGATGTTGCGGTGAGATTTCATCTATTGGAAATTTTCAATTCAGCGTTAAAATCATGGTAATCAAATTACGAATTGAAATTCTGGTAAGAAGAAGTAAAGTTCGATTGAATATGGACAATGAGATTCTTTCACGTTTAATTGCATTTCACAAAAGTTTAACGAAAAGCCTTTCATTTCTGATAAGAAACTATCGATTGGAGAAACTACTACTTTCAAAATTATCGTTTGACATTTGACATTTTATTTGAAAACAAGTCGAGTGGAGAGATCTAACTCACGTTTCAAAACAGGAAGAATATTTTCATTGTGGAGCGTCGGAAACGTTGGCACAGAATCACTCTCGTAAAGTCTAATCTATTTCGTAACTCGGGAATATGCGCGAGCTAATAAATAAATTTCGCGCGAGCCTTTTCTCGTATGTATCACTTATCGTCAACGTGGAAAAAAAAAACGAAGATATGGAAGAATGAGGATGAACTGTTCCCCGGTCTAGATAGATTTTTATAGATCTTAAGGAGGGACTCGAATAAAATTCTTTCGCTTTGCCAAAGTTACATTGAGATTTACGATACGCGTAACTCCCGTAACTAAAGTTCTTTATTACCGGCAGTTTTACTTTTAAGTACGAAGAAGAGAAAAATCAATCTCGATTTCGTTAAGTATGTAAGAATAAAAAATAAGGAGCATTGCTGGTTTTTCCGCCGATCGTCAAGTGGGATGCCATTGCAGACGCGCGGACGCGAGTTGCACGGATTTCTGTCCACGATATCTCCAGAAAGGAGCTTCGAGGTTTCCCATCGGCAAACTTTCGATCGGTCGACGAAGTCGGCGAGGCGCGACTCGCGCGAGTTAATAGCCCCAAATCCGTTTTCCTTTCTTTCGGGCGGAGGATTTCGCCGCCGCATCCGTCGCCCGATCCCCAGGTAGATTGCTGTACAAATCGTCGTCATTAAATTAGTTACGCGCCGGGAAAAACCGCCGCGATTTCGTTCGTTCGAATCCGTCTTCGCGAAAGATAAAACGCGGGAACCGAGCGGAATTCGTTATCGTCAGCATTCGCGAGCGAAGGGGGGAAAAAGAGAGAGATAAATTATACACAGTGGGACACGATAAATAACTGCATTGTCTAACTGTAATGGAAGGATCCAATTTGCGATTTAAATCACTGGAGAAATATGCGAATATCATTATCATTTTCTTTTGGCGGGCGCTCGATTAAAGTAGTGCAGGTATTATAATAACGATCCCGTAACGTACCCGACTCTTTGATCCAAACAGAGAAGAATATAATTAGAGGAATAATTAGTAGTACAATAATTGCGACAAAATAAATACTGCAATCCCATAATCGACGAAACGGAGCAGAAACATCTGTATGCAGTATTTGCTGCAAGCGAAACAATTTTCGCGTGACTTCGCGTGAATATAAACGGCTCGCGTTTTTCCTCTACCGTATTTAATTAATCCGGCTTGGCGCAATTGCGGCATGCGACCGGTGTTAGTGAAGTGTTTTGGATTTGCCGAAACGGATTATAGAACGTTGCGCTGGAGCTCAGCTTAGCTCGACCGGATGGAAAAGCCTTGTCTCCCGTTATTTTTATTGTTATTTTTTTATCACGTATATAAAACGTCAATTTTATGTCGATTAATTTCTGGTCATTTACGTGGAAATGTAGGTTTACAGCTAAATGACATTTTATAATAAAATAGTAATCAGGAAAAATTATATAATTTCCACACTTTTTTAAATAAAAATTAAGGTTTATTGTCAAGCATCTTTTAACGTTCAGACTGTCACGGCAACGATAACGACGTGAAAAATGACCAGAGCTTTAAGAGCTTGCGGCTCATTTCCATTCGTCCTCGATTTGTTCCGTTGCACTTTGCGTCGCGTGAAGACAACCGTGTTACCTCGTACATTATCGGCATTGCCGACGTTGACTCTCTCAAGAACTTCGCTCCGATCTACCTGCAATCTTCGTAGAGAAACTTAAGGTGTGCTACGATGAGCGAAAAGGTCCGCGTTCCCGGTGGTATTGATAGAGATCCCTCCCGCACCCTTGACTCAAACGGGGTCGGCGAAGTTGTCGGGTCAGCCGGGCGTTAATTATTGACACGGGCTCTCGGTACACAGTGTTCCCAGGCGATGGCGAACCCCGGGTGCATGTCCGCGGACCGTCCCAGAAACACGGATCCGTAGACGTTGCCCGTGCGAAACACGACGTTGGTCAGGGAGTAAGAGAGGGTGAGCCCCAAGTGGGGCCGACGTCGTCGGCGGACAGGAGATAGAGGATGTACCAGACTTTCGAGGCTTGGGTCGCTGCCCAATGAGGGCGGTCCCGGTTGATGCCTTAAGTGCGGATAATTCATCAAAGTCTCATTAGGCTAATGCCTCGGGGCCTGTATCTTGAACGGCATTATCCCACCGAGGGTGGTGAGACGCCGCGAGATTGCAGGCGACACGAGCCAGCTCTAGGAGATACTAATTTTTTTTTTTTCACACAAAAAGGACATTCTCAGCGGTCACGCGAAGGGAGGATGTCGAGCCAGTCTTCGCTAAATTCTAACTCTTTCGATTAGAAATTTCTTTCTTACCGTACTTTACGTATTTCTTTGTACATCTTCAAGCTATTTTCAAGTAAAGAACGTCAAGTGGCGCAGGATATCTCAAGGAAATCTATTTCTTTTTTTTTTTCATTTTTCGAGAATCGGGACACCGATGTTCTCGTCTTTCTGTACCTTGCAACAACGTCGCCGAGCTGTCGAGAGACACTGTTTGTTCGAGACTTTAAAGCACTGGCATGCAACGTCTTATCTAGTTTCCTGAAACTTCGGCTTATCTCTCGCGTGACGTTCATTTTCTCTTATCCCGTGGATAAGAGATTGGAAAGGGCTGAGGAACGCGGCGTTACAAATTCGCGACGCATTTATGTTTAATAGAATGTAAAAAGTTCACGTTAAGATATAAACCGACATTAACGTTAGGGAGGATGAGAAAAAAGAAAGATTGGAGGAGGAACGTGATGTTTCTGCGATTAAAAAAAGAAGAGGATATTTTATTTCAGAGATATAAAACCATACTTGTCTTAATTATTTATGTAGTACGAAAAGAATCATAAAACGAACGAACGAAGTATGTATACATGCTGTCCATATAGTGTATTCAAGTTTACGAGTGTCGGTCCTCGTGTTTCAGCTGCTGACGGAGCAGAAGAGGTACGACGACGAGATGCGGCGACAGCTGAAATTGCAGTCGGAGATACACGCCGATCATCTTCGAGAGGCACTTTCGGTCAAAGAGCAGCAAACGCAAAGGATGCTGCAGCGTGCGCTCGACGAACAAGCCGACACCGTTTCCATGAAGCACAAGGCACAGCTCGCGGAGGTAGTTGGAAGGTCACGTGCTGTCGCAGCGGCTCTCAAAGGTAAGTATGTATCGTCTTTCTATATATCTTCCTTCTTCGAACCGGGAAGACGTCGTTTCCTTTTCCGCAGGAAGATGCAGTCGCGCGATCGCGACTTATATTGCGTTAAAAAAAAAATCGGTACCGATTGAAGATGCGAAAACGATTTGTATGTACACTGCTTAATTTAGTGAGATCGATTCTAAATTTAGTTTAATTTAGTCGATCTCGTCAATAATTCTCCCCGTATAAACTACTAAACTACCCCGATAAATCTCGTAGAAATCACCGTAGCTTTCGATAGCAGCGTCCATCTAGTCTAGTAAATAAATGTTCAATATCCGTGCCGTTCAGTGGACAAATCATCTCTCGGGGAGATGCTTTCGCCTTTGTCGTCTGCGCCATTGTGCCGTGTTCTGGCGTTTAATTACGGGGGTAAAAAAAAAACACGGGCCTGGTCTCTGTAAAAGACCGCTCGCGCTCGCGTCGGGAAAGTGTCGACGACATTTTGAGACGCTTGATCTCCTCCACTGTTTGTCTTCTACCAATCTCTTTGTCCTTTCGACGGTAATGGACCACCTCGCGTGGTCCCGATTCGGACCGAGTCGGGGTCGAGTTTCACCGTCGAACAGTGTGTACAGCGCGCGATCAGTATTGTTTGCGACTTGCACCCTCCTGTCTTTCACCGAACCGGACATGTAACTTAGCCACGGATGTTTACAAAGATAGGAAAGATACGATCCTGTAATTGTTCGCGAAAGAGAGGTTAATACCTAACAGCGTGGTCTTGAAGCTGTCAAACTGATCTAAGGTTATCACGTCTGACAAAAAGAAAAGCAATAAGAATATGTAAAAATTTAACAAAAACAGTATCTATATTTCTTATGTTGAATATATATATGTACATTTATATGCACTTATAATCAGATAAAGATAATAGATCTAGTATACGTTTTTTGTAGTGCGTTTTAAAAATTCTTGCAAAGAATATTCGAAAAAGGTGATCTGCATCTTTCTTCTAAAAATACCGTCGAAAGTTTCTGAAAATTGCAAAGGCGCCGTTGGTATGCCGGCGATGTTTATCGAATGTTGAACAATTCCTGAGTGAAGTTCAGCGAGCAGAGTTTTATCGCGTGTATACGTAGCACTTATGCTTGTTCAGACTAAAGATTAAGATTGAGATTAGATTGGAATTTAACCTATTAGAAGAAAGAAAACCAATCTCAAGTTTAGTAAACCTTCCTTCGATTGGTCAAATTCCAGTCCAATTTCAATCTCAATCTTTAGTCTGATACGGGCATTAGACCGATTATTTTGCGGTAACTTTATAATCCGCGTACGAGGCGCGCACGACATTCCGAGACGCGCACCTGACCGAAGATATCGCGGGGCGTGTTTGCCCTTTCCAGTTTTACTGGTAGCAGAGGGAGCTACCGGAGTTTAATCCGGATTAACCCTGTTCGAGTTCAACACAGCGATGGCACCTCCAACGGTCCCCTTATCACCAGCTGCTCGTACTCTCCTATACATCCGACCGGTCGAGATTAATTCCCGATTAACAAATCTCGTACACGACATACACTCATTGCGCAACGCGCCGGCCGATAACTATCTTTAATTAGTTTCCGTTCGAGTAATTTTCCGGTCACCGAACGGATTACGAACGCGATACGTTATCGATACTTCGCGCTCGCGTCCTCGTCGCAGGCGTTGCGTTATTGAAAATCGTTGAAATTCGTTGTCCACTCGTGGAGATATATTTTTTTGCGTTAATGGTCCTCCCTCTCCCCGGGAGGACCCGCGTGTTTACTATCTGAGCATTATCGATTGTTGTCCTCGTTTAATATCTCTTATATTTCTCGCGAGTAAAGTGTTTGATGTTTATTTTATCCCGCGCGGTATATTAATTGTCGTGACACAAGGAGAGAGAGAGAGAACGAGAGTGGGACTTCGAAATGAGGAAGGATTTTTAAAATATAGGCTTTTCATCCTCGTATTCGACGAATACCGTATGGAACGGACGAATTTCGTTGGAATCTATTGCGACTTCCGACAAATTTACTTGAACGCGAAAATAATGCTAGCTTCCCCGCAAATTATTGTGATATTTCCATTGGACCGTTTCTCATCGAGTTTCCCCGATTAAAACGTCCTAATTTCCCGGTGGTCTACCGGCGCTTATAATTATTGTCCTAATTGCGGATTGTCTCTCGAAGTAGTGTCACCAAATTCAGCCGACCGGGGATATTTCTGGCTGACTGAGAGAGAGACACGGTTGTTCTCGCGCGGAGACGCTTTTCGCTCGTTAATTAACTTTGCCCAACAAGCGGACGGAAGTGTAGGGTGGGGGCTTCCGGGAGGAGAAGGGCGGAGAAAGAAATACGCGTGAAATACGGTGCTCACCGCTGCATAATATCCATTATCCGGCGAGGAGTTCTGCGTTTAATTTGGTGAATTACGTCGTTTTACCGCGCTCGCTACCGGAGACTTATACCGGAGGTGGACCGTACGAACAGGAGATACACCAGAAGTTAATAAAATGCAGGTCCCTCGAAGGGTCGTATTAGGTAAGAGATGAGAGTCTCTCGAGGGGAAAAGCGCCCGTGATTTATAAGTCTTATGTTGTGAAGATGCGATGAAAATAAAGGCATTATTGACCTTTTGTAAGCATCTCACGAGCAAAAAAAAACGTGACACGGACGTCGAGAGAGAAGGACGTACAGCCACTCTCTCTTTTTTCCATTCTCTCTCTCTCCCTCTCTCTCGCCAATTGCTCCTACGATGGCGGTGGCACAGGGATGTATTTCATGAATAGAAATTAGCAATAAAAAGATGGCATGAAAAGAGATGAGGATGGAGGCGTCGAGGTGTAAACTTTTAGATTTCAGCGTGGGCGATGCAATGTTGCAACGTGGCGCGGGCGGGTGGATAACGTTCGGTATCAAATCTCGGCGAGCCGCAAGAAAAGCGGAAGAAGAGATTTCGGAGCTTTGTAAAAGTGACGACTTTCGATTACCGCGTTTTGAAAAGATAGCAATTTCACTATAAGTAGAATGATAAAGATAAACTTTGCATGGATCTGGATTTTGTCCCGTATAATACATTTTCGGCTGCAGCGAATTCTGATCATTTAGTCTATGATTATTTATCCAAAATCATTTACTCTATGATTATTTATCCAAGTAAAAATCAAAAGTTTTTATGTACACATATACACAATGAGAGGTAGCGAGATTAAGCGCATATTTTTTCGAGCAGCGCTGTAACTTGTTTTCCGGATATATAAAATCCTAGGGCGGCATGATTATCGAGCAATCTGAATAATTGCGAAATAAAAGTGCGGATTTAATATAGCGATGCTTCTTTATACAATTTAAATACGGGGACAAAGGCAGTCACGCGGAGTAGCTGGAGGGGCAATAAAACGGGACGGATGAGGGTGAAAAGCGAGCGAGATCGTAGGTCGCGGTTTTATCAGCTCGACGAACCGACTAACATACGCGATGTGTTGCCCCAATTATAACTTCCGCCATACGTCTCTCGCGGGCGCTTTTAAGGGTCAGTACACGACTACGGGCGTCGAGTGCCGGATAAAGCAAAGGGGAAAAAGCGGCGGCCCCGGCGGCTGTGTTCGCATATATCGAAAAACACAGCTGCATCTCGTATTTCCATGGGCGTTTATTGCCTTCGTGCTTGCGACGGAACTCCCTCCCCCCCCCTCTCTCTTTTTCTCAACGATGAAGAAAACAATAAGGTCGTAATTTACGGTAACGAGCGCGTAGAGACGGGCGCGAATTGTATTCACTCGAAGGGAGAAACTGCGACGACGAAGTGCCTAATTCCGAAATTTCTCCTTATACAACGGTAACGGCAACACGCCGTGGATCTCGCGAATGTGAGAGAGCGACGTCTAATCTCGCTCTTGTCGCCGAGACAAAATCGACTCCTGATTCACCGGGGAAGTCCGTAACGAGCGAGTACCGCGATATGCGGTGCATATTCATGCGCTCGGCGGGACTTAACTAATGCCACGCCGAGCTACTCGACGCGCGCGAGATGCTCGCTCGCTCGCTCGCGCGTCGGACGCGAATCCTTCGGGGAGGTAGGGATATACCCGACGTCGATGCGGTTTACGGCTCTTCTGCCGCCTTGGCAAGTTTCCACAGCCGCGAGAAGTACGCGGATAAGATCATCGCCCATCGTCGAATATTTCCGCCGCAATTACGTCGCGTTAAATTCATCCGCGTCGTCGGCTACGCGAGAGAGCTCCGCGGGAGAGGGATGGCTGCATTTGACGGTTACTATTTCTATCCGTCTCTCTCATCCGTCCTGTGGGGACAACTTCTCGACGAAATCTCGCGAACGACGACGACGACGACGACGGATTCGCCCTTATTTACGACGCAATGCGCGAGAACATTTTCAAATTCAAGATACACTTAACACAGTTGCGCAAGCCGCATTACTACAAGATTTACGATTCACGCGGCGGAGTCTCTTCCGTCGAATCCTTTTCCTTTCACGATATCCTTCGCATAAGGTTGAACCGATGTTACGAGAATTGAAATACAATCTTGAAAGAGAGAGCATCGACACGCGTCGTATAGCAGCACGTATTTTTTTTTCTTTTATTGAATAAATTATTTTCGCTGAAAGGGAGATAGATAAGAGAACAAGAGATGCATCAGTTTTTTCTCATTCAGATCAATTGGTTTGATTAGAGCCGCGCGTGCGATCGTGTGGAAGCCGAAGAATTTAAATCGAGAATAAATCTCTTAATCGGCTACGAGAAGTCATATTCCGTCGGAATTTATGGTGCATGCTTTTATTGCTGAATACTCGCGATTGTTTTGCGCGGCGAATTAATTTTTCCCGTGTACACGGCATTTTTCGGATATGACTTTTCTTCGCTTGTAACAGATTTGTGTTACAAAAGCAAATGTGAATTTAAGGATATCGAACGTGAATGTTTTATATGTCCGGTGTACCGTGCGTGTTTCCAAGGAGAGAAACGTGGTTCC